GTGTCCCTAGCTTCTGTCTGACTGTTGTGGTCTACGCTGGCCTCGGTGTTGTGTGGCAGCGGGAACAACGGCATCTTGTGGCCATCCACTGGGTGTAACGGTTAGCGTTGCGTCTCCTTGTAGATGGTGGCTTGTTTTTCTTTTTCAGGGCCGGCTCAGGTTTCCTGGATAAAGTATCTGGTTCCTTAGCCTTGATCCAAGTAAGCTGCACTGATACCTTGTCAGAGCTGGCGGTAAATTTTCAATCCGGCTCTTTTCCATCTAACTTCATTGTTACCAGTAAGGCTTTCAGTTCATTAGGTAGTTCCATAATGTTTGTCAACGAAGTATACGATTCTAAGTTCAACTGATGAAGAATTATGAATTATTTTAGTCCTGTGTTTTTATAATTTGTTTATTTCAATTGAATACTCAATTGAGAAAGAAAAAACATCACGTTCATTTTGAATTGTTATAAAAAAATTTCCAAGCGCGAAAAAAAAAATTGGATGGTTAACCGCCCCTTCTCTTGAATCGACCAATCTATCAAAGGAATTAATTACTCTGAGCTATTAATTCACAATTAGTGGTTAACACGTCAGTCAATTTAGCTATGGGAAATGTGTGTAGAATGCGTTAGAAATGTAAAAAATGTGTTATTGGGAGATTTCAATAATCTAAAGATGAACGAAACTAGAAACGAGGTAATCAAAGAGTCAACAAAAGAGCAACAAAATAACTATATAGGCGGAAAAGGGAATCTCTAGTACCTTATTGTTTAATTATCGTACCAAAAACTTGGCTGATTGGCAAAACTCAAGGATTAAATTCTTTGCTTTATCTTCAGAAAGTTAAAAAATGTATTAACCAGGGGGAAGATATACACACAGCCACGATCGTGACCATGACCTTACCATGCTTACCCTCACATAGCCCCATGCAAACAATATAATCAGCTGTCTTTCATATAAGTAATTTGTTATAAAAATCATATAAAGGTTGTAAATGAACTTGTTAAATAGATCAAAGGGGTCAAATGGTGTCATGACTTATGGTGAACGTGATTCACTTGGCATTGATGAAAAACTCTATTATTTTAGTTAATATGGTAATTCATAATTGTAATTAATTGGAAATGAAATTTCTTTAACAAGTGAACTACATGAAAATGTAGATATAATAATTCATTATACTACTGAACGATCTTTATTGATTTTGAAAATTGCAATAAGATTTTTAACAAGTTGCACTTATAACAGAATTTGTTTCTCTGTGTTAATTTTTTTCTCTCTCTCCAAATATATAACGAAACCACCGCAAAATGCATTCCCTTGCTGTTACAAAGGAATTCCCGATTGTAGCTAAATATATGACAAAGATCACGCCAGCACATTTTCAAAAAAATTTCCTATGTCTAATGCGAATAGTGTACCTTTCTAAGGAAGCAACGACTTCACTGAGGTATCCATCGGATGCCAAATGACATGCTTCGTCTTTCTAGAGATGAATTAAATATCAAATATGTGTGTACGAACAATTTTGATTGTGGAAATTATTAAGACATTGCATGGTTAAATTTTGATTAAATATACTTAGTACCCAATGTAGTATATGAATAATCATGCCATATATTTGAAACTATCAAAGAGTACTGGGAAGAGTATAACTAACAATATACTATGTCACAGTTGAGCTTTACAATTTTTCAGTTAAAAACGTTTGTAGTTAAAAAAAAATCTTAAAATTTCTTGAATTGATCTATAATGTCCAAAAAGATTAATCTGCTACTTTTGAATTTAGATGAGACAGTGAATACAGAAGAAATTACAAAAACATAGCAGAAAATGCAAACTATATGTATATGAAGGTACACTCAATCATAAATTGTTCATTTTTTTAAGTGTCATTAGGGTATTTTTAATGCAAAGTTGACTAGTTAACTGCATTACCATATGTTTAATTTTTAACAACTACATTATACTTGTTACGTTTTTTGTTATTTTTTTAAGAACACATACGTCTATTATAAATAGTTATAATACGAAATAATAAAACAAACCTAAATGTCTCTTGGTATTTTCATTTGTGTCGTTTGGTTGCTGCCTCATTGACGTTTACCCCTCCATCTTTTATTCAAGCTTATGATACAAACCTTTATGCCACCAAATTACAAATGAGAGACATCTTGATATGTTATGCGCCTCTCAAAACTCTTTCCTTTTAATCATTCTATTTTACTAATTTATCTATGTTTTATCAATTATCGTTATGTCCAAGTTCAAATATGTTGTAAGTTGTATATATAAGTGTAACTACAATAAAAATGTGTCTGTCTACAAGCTAACATGTACAAATAGAGCTCTTAAAATCGAAATGACTAAAGTGATTTTTTTTTTTAAATCGGAATATGGAATAAATGTCATAGTTCCATATTCAAACAGAAATATATGAAACGGAAAAAAGTATAATAGTGTCACTTTAAATTATCGAGACCAGATATTGAGAGGGTTAAGCAAGGAGGTTGTATGAGACCTTTTCATACAACCTCCTTGGGTTAAGTATCGCAACAAAAAATGGAAAATTTGTGACAAATCTTGTTCGGAGTTTAAAAGCATCCAATCTAAAACATTATAAAGCCCTTCCTTTTTTTATTTTGGTAATCATGATATATTAATATATTTGTTGGTTACGTTTGGGTATTGTTTTGCTTTATTGTTTATTTTGTTTTTGACATACACAAGTACAATGAAATCTTTCCATAGAAAAAAAATCAGAAAACAAGAAAGTTGATCTACCTTTTCCGTCTTGTGATGTACGGTTATAATAGCATACCCTTAATTGTTAAAATTGAAGAGATCGTTTCCAATTAGAGACATTCAATTCTTTATTACTTTTCTTGTGGTTAAATTTTCGAATTAATATTAATTTCATCTATTTTATAACTTTTTAAGCGTCCAATGAAAATGGTCCGAATCATAACCAAGCATTTATATTGGTTTAGATATCACATGTCATACACTTTTACTTTAAAAGTTCATTCGAGTGAGAAATTATAGCTCGATCTTTAAAATGTAATAAATAAATACAGCAATGATCACAAAACGGAACTGATAGCCGTCTTTTGGTGATATAAAAAATCAATAGTTTATGAAAGTTGCAATCTTATATTTAATATGTAATCGACGGTTGTTGATATTCTCCTTTAATACATTGATTTGTTAGAATTAAAAGCTTAAATGTGCCTTGAAAGAAATAAATTTAAGCCAATCGTCCATTCAATAAATGTCTTCTTTTGAAATTTAATTTATATGATTTATATCTTTATATATATAATAAAAAGAGTCAAATCATTAACCTAACATTCATAAGTTTTTGTAAAATACGTTGATTAGCAAAAATACCCCCCAAAAAAATCCATTGAAAATAATAATAAAAAACATTGCTAATTTGAGAGAGAGAAAAATACCAATTTCCAAATTAATCAGTAAACTCTATAAAATACAGCATGTTTTTGATTATAAAAAATAACATTCAAAGAAAAACAGCAGTTGTAGGTATTAAAACTGAAAAGGGGTGCATATCAAAAATCATAAGGAAAATGCAAGAAAACTCGTTTTCAATCGAATAACATAAACGGTATAAATTTTTTCTGCACCAGATGCGCATTTCGACAATCAATGTCTCTTCAGTGATGCTCGAGGCCAAAATATTTGAAAATCCAAAGCTTATTAAAAATATGAAGAGCTATAAACAAAAAAAGGACCAAAAAGTATAGCCGAAGCCGGGCAAGGAATCAGAGCTTTGCATGAGGGAGATACATTCCGAAACGTTCCCTACCCTACTAGTAATGATGGTGGTCGTCCAGAAATTTGTAATTGCATTTTGACAGGATTTTCACCTTCGCCATTTAATATTGGTTTAAACAAATATGTGAATATGTCTGAAACCTTTCATATTTTTCAAATCGAACTATTTTCAAGTTTTTGTGAAAATTGATAAAGAAACGCAAAAATAGTTTTCCAGAATGTTTTGCACCAATGACTTGATTACATTCTCTACTTTCTCTTTCGACTACATGGTAGATCAGTCAGTTTTACAAACAATTAACGTGGCATATAAAGGTTGAAAAAATGTTCAAAGTGAAATTTTTCTCACTTTTTTCTAAATAAATGATCTATTGTTAGAGATGTTTGTGAATGACAAGTACAATTTGTTTGCAGTAAAGTATATAATGACTACATCATTATCTTGTTATATTACATTATCATTGTCACCCAAGGCCAATGTCCATTACGTGGTCATTGTGGCTAATTCTTTTGATTATTAAACAGTGACCTTCTATAACCAAAGTATTTTTTTTGTAAATGATTTCTCAAACGCAGAAATTTCAGTTTCCGGCGTTTAAATGTATTTTGATATTTTAGTACTTTATATATAAAAGTATATATGCGTTATGAGAGGGATAAATGAACTTTAATTTAGAACTATCATATCAACATGGTGTAAATATACGTTCAAGACGAACGGAACATTCCCCCAATCACGCCGAAGTTTTGGTTGTTTTTAAAAAACTTTAAAATCTTATGGAAAGCTGAATGTGTGAAAAAAATTGCACCAACCTATATAAAACTCATATCGTAAATGTGCGATATAAAAAAAGTGAAAACAAAACAAAAATACAGATTTCTTTTCCGATTATTCGTGTATAACACATAGTTACCACCACATAACTTATTTATATTAACAACAAAATAAAAAAGAAAAAAACAACATATGAACATCTAAGATGAGAATTGGAAAGGTAAACACTCGCTTGAATTAATCAGGGATGTAAGACTGTATCAATTTCATAAATGGTGAAATTATAAGATTTTGAACCGTTAACAATTATGCTGAGTTTACATAGCCTTGTCCCTCGTTATAATTAATTTCATTAAAATTTCAAAAAAATGTACAGACTGAGTTAATTATACATGTATTACTTTCTGTTAAATTAATTAGACAATGTCATTTTAACTTACCTGTCAGTCGACAGTCTTCTTCAGTGTTTCCTTGTGTTTTTTACCGTTGTCAGTTAGAGATGTTATTTTTAAATGATATTTAAACTCTGCAATCCCTTTGTCCTGCAGCGCATAATTAGGTTCCGGAATCGGGAATGTTTCTATCTCCATGAATCCGGGTTCGACTCCATCTTGATTAAAGTGACATAAGTATTGACAGGGATCGTATACTACGGAAATAGGTTTTACCTGTAAAAGGTGAACAAAGGTAAACTTAGTTAATGACTATGTTTATGACTTGTAGATAGATATAATGACAATTTTACTGTATTATGTTGAAGAGGAAACATTTTCATCTCTAAAAGATTAACGATTCTGATTGGATATTTGTTGATAATAAATAAATAAGATTATTTTGCTAGTTTGAATTTGAATTTGAATTAACTGTTAATTATCAATGATTAAGGAAACTGTAACAAAATTCTTCAATTGCAACTTTGAAATTAAGGATATTTGACTTTTATGTCCTACCATTTATGTACATGTAAAAGGCACCCGAAATAAGGATATTATAATAAGTTTAAACTTAAATGATTGTAGCTTCTTTCTGAAATAATAACCAACATCTTAATCTTTTTTATTTTTTGGACTTAGAATATCTACGCGTTTACCAATATCTTATTCAGAAGTAAAAATATTTATAGCATATATGCAAGTATCAAATTCAAAGTTTCCTTGTAAAGAACCTTAACTCAGGGAATGGCAGAGACGGATTTAGGGGGGGGGGGGGGGGCGCAGGGGACCGGGCCCCCCTTTTGTGGGAAAAACTTGGTTTATTTTATAGGGAATCACTGAAGCATGACTGGAGCAGGGCCCCTCTTAGGTAGTCAGTGGGCAGTCAGTGGGCCTCCACTTATGAAAATTTCTGGATCCGCCACTGAATGGTACATAGAAAGACAATTAATTCAATATGTTATGGATTGGCTCCATATTGTTTGAGATGGTGGTCAATGGCGTTTAAAACAAGTATGTAATGGTTTTGCATTTTCCTGAATATACCAATAAAATGAGAATGGTTGCTTAATGTCAAGAGCAAAATATTGCATGACAACAAGGACGTTAAATGTGAATGAGACAAGTACTAACATATCCTGCTTTGTATTAGATCAACACGTTATGACGGATTCTCAACGTGCTAGCTCACAAGGTACTAGTTCGATGGTAAACATCAACCGGTATCATCCTACTCTGACGCATAATAATAAATCCAGTGGCGGAGCTTCCATTGAAGCAATGAGACAACTGTCTCACTTAATTTTTGACCAAGAAAAAAATAAAGGAGATAATATGTACAGTTTGTATGTCGTAGTGATTCTAAGCATTTGACTACTCTACTGCTTACACAAGTATTTCTCTTTCTAAACTTATGACAGTTTCAAAGAATTGGCTCATTTTTTTAAATAGAAGAGTCCTGTTTTAGCAAGGGACAGATACCTACTAAATACCACTCAAACAAAAGTTCTCATAGAGATGCCGGCTTTTCATTGACAAAATATTGTTACATCGTATGACGCATACTTCATACAGATACTTCTAAAAAAATGGAAATGAAACTTGCTGTATTAATATCATTAATCTTCACTTTCCCCTATGCACATGGAGCTGCTGACCAGGCCGCGGTTTCCTAATGGTTAAGTTGTAGTCATTCTTTTTTTTTTACTGAAGCCAATATGATTTAGTTAATCGTTATGGAACATTTGTCTTATATCTGACCACGTCGTAGCCAGAACCCTGTCTTCTCTTCCTAGTTATGGCATAAGTGATGATTACCAAATGATACTTATAACAGGGATTTAATTTCATTCCGCAAGACGATGATTGTCATCAGTGGAACAGGAACACCCTACCGTACCGATGCACCTACTTGAGTCTCTTTGAGTTTATTGGTATGGTTCGTGTTGCTAAATTTTTCTTTTTCTTGTACTGTTTGGTGGATAATTGTTTATCTGTTCCGCGTCGTTTTTCTTATGGATATTGTGTTATCTGTTTTTCATCGACCTATGGTTTTTGATTGACCCTTGGTATTGTCTCCTCATTTTTTTTTTCGTATTAAACGACTCTTTGTTTTCTCTTTACATATATACAGGAAACAGTTCATGAATATTTTTTTTAAAGACACTTTTTTACAATTGCAAAGTTTTGTGCTTTTGTGCTTTTCAAACATTTTGATCATCTGATATTATTTTAGTTGCCTTTCTTTTTAGCCCCTTTGTTTATACAGCCCATTGTATCTATCCCTCAATGGCTGCACTCACTTAACTTGATTAAAGGCAGATTTGCCAAGAACAAGTTTCGGATGAAAGAATTTTTAAAATGTCAAAAACGTTAAGTTTGTCGGCCAAAGAATGGACCATAGACTACAAGTGATGCAATACCTTTTACTGTTGCTTTGGTCAAGATGAGCTCAAAAACAAGCTAACTAGATTTACTCCTAAACACTATCATTTTCATGTTCAGTTTCAGGTTTGAATCTTGTAAAGCGGGGATTAAACAATTGTGATATGAAATAACAAATTATATTTTAATTTACTAGTAAACATAAATAAGAAGATGTGGTATGAGTGCCAATGAGACAACTCTCCATCCAAGTCACAATGTATAAAAAGTTAACAGTAATAGGTCAAAGTACGGCCTTCAACACGGAGCCTTGGTTCACACCGAACAGCAAGCTATAAAGGGCCCAAAAATGACTAGTGTAAAACAATTCAAACAGGAAAACCAACGGTCTTATCTATATATAAACGTTTGAATTCAGGAAACTAACATACTTTTTTTAAGATCTTATCTAACAGAGTTTCATTTTCAATTAAAAGTTGACATAGTTTACGCCTATACGTAAAATAAGATTATCGTTGATATCCTAAACGACCTCCTACAAGTTAGCTGAACGGAAATATAGAAAATTGAATAATAAAATGACGGGAAGAGCCAATTGATGACACCTTTATATGGAGTAAGTCCGTATAGAGGGAATTACATTCACTAATCTGCTAAAGAAATAAAAACATCCTGAATCACGAACAAAATTAGCTGGAGGTTATTCTTACTAAAAAAAATTGTAAAATTAAAATTAAAAATTAAAAGATTGAAATTAATCTATTTATGTATTGAAGAAAATTCATAATGATTATGCATTTTTTTGTCACCGGAAAAGTATAAGAATAAAAAGATACAACTAATTTTACCCATGAGATGCTTGTTCAGTCACGTAGCATTTAATTTTTTCTAATAGATTTTGTACTGATGTGGCTATCGTTTGCTGTTCATAGTTTCTGTCTATCTATCATAGTATTCAAGATAATAAGCAGAAATGTTAAAATTGACCAAAATCACCTTTTAAGGACAATCACTCCTATACGAAGTCATTATGTGGTTTCTGTCATATTTTGCATGTTTGTAAGCCTTGTATTTCTAGTTCTAGTTGCTGGTTATTGTTTTACTATGTCTATCATAGTAATTTGAAGGAAAAAAAACATCATTATGAGCAAAAACTCCCATAAGAGTCGATTGATAGTTTCAATTACATATACATTATTGTAGATATTGTTGATGTTTACAGTTTCTGTCTTATTCATTTTTTTTTTTAACTTTTTGACAGAAATGAAAAGTATGTAATATTAGACATTCTAAGCATTTCGGTTCCTAGGTTCCTATCCGATTTATCTATCAACGTATGTAACCGTTTTCAAGATAAAAGCCAGTTACTTGTATTTTACCCTTATGTTATATTTTTGGTGTCAATGCTGATAGGAAAAATATTCTCCAAAACGGACAATGATGTAAATGAATAAAAGGTACGTACGCTAGGTGCGCTCGGTCCAAAATTGTGGTAAACGTTCAGGTTTTGAATGTCTTATGTAATATTAAAAATCCCAACACTGGTAATTTCTAATACGACAAATATATTAAAGAAGACTTTAAAGTAATGCCTTGGATTTTTTTAAAAGTGATAATATATTTTGATAATTTCTAAACGGATGTGAAATTTTGGTTTGCTTAAATGGCAATTTCATTATTTTCTTCTAACGACCGTATATCCAGATTATTAGTTTTTTTCTGTATATTATACTTATAAACCAGGAAGACTTCATAATGCAGCACATTTCTGCGAATTTGTAGGTAACTCTACATTATGAACTTGAAAATACAGATGTCAATCATAGTCAATCATCCCACGTTAAAATGAAGAAGTAAAGTTATGCAGTGCAATGTCAATGTTAAAGATTTTATGGATTTCAAATTCAATATCTCAATTGCCATAAAAACATAAAACAAACAGTATAAATACATGCATATAGTGCATGCTTTTAAAACAATACTTGCACTTTAGTTTAACAAACTTCCTAGTTTCGTGTATCAAGAGTTTCTACGTATTCAATTCACATATAGCCGACTATACAGTAGGGTTTTTTCTCATAGTTGAAGGTCGTACAATGATCTATAATCTATCTATCTATCTTCATATTTCCGCACTCAGTCACAACTTTGACTATTACGTGCTGTTGCATGCGTGGCTTATTTACAATTTAAAAGAAATAAATTTTCAGTAATTTTACGTTACAAAGACGTTAAGCACGATATTGCGTCTCAAATGGTAACGTAAATTTTTTTTACGTTTTACGGCGATTAATGATTAACATGATTATATTGGGGATATTTTTTTTATTTCGCTTGCAATTTCTATTTTGCACATCAATATTGATACTTCTTAATGTTTGGTTGTACTGAATATGCGTGAAATATTTCCCACTGAAAGTAACGTAAGCAACAAACAACAAAATATATCGTATTTGGGTAATGCATAAGTCTATATGAAAAAGAAGATATATACGGTATGATGAGTGCCAATGAGACAACTCTCTACCAGAGACCAATTGACATAAAACGTAATAAAATGCAATGTTTCCCCATTTTGATCCGAAAAGGAAGAAGATATATATTTTGATTTAATTAAAAAATGTTTGTTTTTCAAGTTAAACGGGTCTTGCTTATAAAATTCACTGTACTTTCTTTGATAATGGAACAATTAGATTAAGAGATGAAACGATTGTCAGAAAAAAGGTTAATTCTATTCATCTCATATGTTTACAAGCCGTGTATGATATGGAGAGGTATGTAGCCACGCTTCAGGTCCAATTTTATGTTTACTCTCAAGTTCTATACATATGAATCT